CCCCTCAGGACCCCCCCAGTTCCCCTCAAAAACCCCCTCAGGAACCCCCAAATTCCTCAGAAACTCCCTCGGGACCCCCAGTTCCCCTCAGAAATCCCCTCAACACCACCCAAATCGCCCTCAGGACCCCCCAGTTCCCTCAATAGCCCCTCAGGACGCCCGAATTCTCCACAGAAATCCCCTCAGGACCCCCCAAATCCTCTCAGGACCCCCAAAAATCGCCCCTAAAACGCCTCAAACTCCCGCTCCTCACCCGCCGCCCGTCGCTGTCGCCGCCGCTTCTTCGAATTTCCCCCCCCGCTCTCCCATTGGCCGCCGCGCGCGTGCGCCGCGCTCCCATTGGTCCGTGCCTCAGGAATCCCCGCCCACCCGGCGCGCGCCGCGCTCCCATTGGTCGCCACTCCAGGGGGGGGAAGCGGTGAACGGCCAATCAGCGCGGGGAACGCGAGGTCACGTGGGAGGGCGGCGGCCATTTTGTGCCCGGCCGTTTCGCCCGGCAACAGGGGCGGGGCCGAGGGGGGGCGGCGGCCAATCAGAGAGCGGGGGGGGGCCAGTATGGACCAGTATAGACCAGTATACACCAGTATGGGCAAGTGCAGACCAGTATGGACCAGTATGGGCAGTATGGAACAGTATGGGACACTATGGGACAGGATGGACCAGTATGGGCGAGTGCAGACCAGTATGGACCAGTATACACCAGTACGGGGCAGTATGGACCAGTGCAGGCCAGTGGAGACCAGTGTGGGCCAGTATAGACCAGTATAGACCAGTGCAGACCGGTATGGACCAGTACAGACCAGTATGAACCATTATGGACCAGTACAAAGCAGTTTTGGCCACCGCGACCAGTGCAAATCTTTATGGACCAGTATAAACCAGTACGAACTATTATGGACCAGTTCAAACCAGTACAGACAAGCATAAACCAGTGTAAGGCACCGCAACTTAGTGCAGACCAGTATAAACCAGTACAAACCAGTACAGGCCTCTATAGCCCAGCACAGACCAGTATAAACCAGTATGACCCAATACAACTGGGTATAACCTAGCAGAGCCCAGTACAACCCAGTATATCCCAATATACTCCAGTATAACCCAGTATATCCCAGTACGCCCTAGTATAACCCAGTATCCCCCAGTACATCCCAGTATCGCCCAGTACAACACCCCAGTATCGCCCAGTATCCCCCAGTATATCTCAGTCTAACCCAGTATCTCCCAGTACAAACCAGTATCTCCCAGTATCCCCCAGTCTAACCCAGTATCTCCCAGTACCACACCCCAGTATCCCCCAGTATATTCCAGTCTAACCCAGTACTTCCCAGTACATCCCAGTATACCCCAGTATCCTCCAGTTTAACCCAGTCTAACCCAGTACAACACCTCAGTATCCCCCAGTACAAACCAGTATCCCCCAGTACATCCCAGTATCGCCCAGTATCCCCCAGTATATCCCAGTACAACACCCCAGTACCCCCCAGTATCGCTCAGAATCTCCCAGTATCCCCCAGTACCTCCCAGTCTAACCCAGTATCCCCCCAATATCCCCCAGTGTCCGGGAACTGGGAGGGGGGCGTGGCCACACCCACGTGACTATCACGTCACGCGATCGTTACGTCACAGCGCGCGTGATCAGCCCCTTGTGATCTATACATCACGTGGTCATTACGTCACTGTGGGCGTGACCAGACCCATGTGAGCTACGCGTCACGTGGTCATTACGTCACGGTGGGCGTGGCC